GGCACAGACCCACAGAGACAGCCCCGCCCCAAAGGGACAGCCCCGCCCACAGGGACAGCCCAGCCCCACAGAGACAGCCCCGCCCCACAGGGACAGCCCCGCCCCACAGAGACAGCACAGCTCAGTTCGCAGCGATACACACTAATTTATTGATGATCAAGCAAACGGGGAAAGCAGTGGGGCTGTGCCCCTGGTTGCGCGTCTGTGATAAGAAGCAAGGCTCGCACCCCACTACATTAGCCGGCGGAGGTCCTCGAAGTTGAGCATGTTGTTGGCTACATCGGACCAGGCCGCATGGGTTGCTCCGTCCATCTCCGGGGCCAGGCTGTTGCTGCTCTCCAGAGTGTGGTTCGTGCCGCCAATGACTTCATGGCATTCAGGGCACGTACTCTTCTGCATTGCCCCTCCACACTCCCCAATTACATAGATATGTCCATTTTTGCACTTGAACCAGTGGCCACGGGGACAGCCAATAGCGCTGACAATCTGCACCCGCTCAGCTTCAGAAATCCCTAGCCCTGACATGGGCAAGCCAGCACTGATCTTCTTCAGGTGAGCCTTCACTGCATCCTCATCCTCCTCTGTGAATTTCGTTGTCCTTTCCAGGATCTCACGTGCATTCTTAATCTCTGCTGCAATGTCTGTGGGTATCATCCTACTCGCTTTGCACCTTGCCAAGAGGCTCAGCAAGTAAGTCAGTCTCTGGATCTCAGACTGCAGGTCAGTGAGCTCCTGTCCTGTAAAACTGGTGCGCGTCTTACACAACCACAGCAGCACTTCATCCAGCCTCTTTCTCAGCCCCTTACTTTCATTCTCATCAATTTTGTTCAGAGAACTAGTCAAGTCTGCTACACGTTCACAGAAATTAAGCAGGTTCTCAATTAGTCCAATACTCCTTGTGGAGTGAGCAGAAGCTTCTAGTTTATGTACCAGCCAGCCACAATTTATATCAAATAGATAAATCCTCAGATCAACATTCTGCTTCAGTGCAGCCCGCAGCCTCTGTCTTTTAGACTCAATTTCCTGTGCTGGGCCTTGGATTTTCTGTTTCACCCGTTCTATCTCCTCCACCTGCCTTTTCACACTGGTGCCATATCTCAGGTTCTTTCTGATGGGTGTCTGACACAAAGGGCATACCTTCAGCTTGACAACATCGTCATCTTCATCCATATAGTGGTCAAGGCCTTGCGACTCAAAGACATGGCCACAGTCTTCAAGCTGTACAAATCGAGCATCTGGGTCATCCTCAAAGCCAAAAAAGATCTGAGTGAGTTCCTCATGGTCACAAACAAGGCACTTCTTTGGGCAGGGCTCTCCACAAAATCCTACACAGGGATGACCACAGGGCAGCATCTTAGCACAGGGAACATTGCAGCGAGGCCTGTTGCACGGCTCAGAGCAAAGGCTGGTACACTGGTAGTGCTGGCACTGCCATTCACACGGCTCAGCACAAGGAACACAGCTTTCCCAACATTTCTTTCTGCACTTACTGTGAATACAGTAGTTCTGACATTCCTTTTGGCAAGGAGGACATTCTGTAGTACAAGGCTCTTGACACTTGTGGGAGCAGATCAAGACACGCCTGCATGGGCTGTCACATGCCTTATGAAATCTTCCTCCATAGCAAGTATGACAGGATCCTGAACATACATGACCACAAGCCAGTGTGACAGAACACTTAGTCTCACATTTCACAGCCTCCTCATTTCCCATGCTAGTGATCCAGCAAAAAACTTCCTGCTTGTGGCCACATTTCAATGTAGCTGTAACCTCTTCATGACATCGCACCATGCATCGTTCCCCACAGGAATTCCTGCATGAGTGTCCACAGTTTAACTTCTTCTGGCAAGGTTCTCGGCACCTAAATTGCCACACTGGCATATGGCATGGCACCATCTGTGTGTGGCCACACTTAGAAATAGTTTTCTCTACCATCACCATACATTTTCCACAGGGCTCATAACATGACTTTGGGCAGCGGTGCCCATCTGCACAAAGCATCTTTTGACAAGGCTTTAGGCACTGGTAGTCTTTGTGCTCCAGGTCATATGGGTGACATGCCCTTGTGCAAACATGTCCACAGCTCAACCTAAACTCACAGGGACGAGTACAGCCTCCCTCTGGGACGCTGTTGAAGTCTTCACCTGTAGATACCTGTGTCTTCATTTCAGGGTGGTTTTGACAGCAAAGCTCCAATGACTTGCCAATGTGACCGTTCTTCCCAAGTGTTTGAATGATCTTGTTCCAGAGAGGAACTTTGCCAAGCATTCTCATGTTTCCAATACAATAGAGCCCTTTCTTAGCTCTGGATAATGCCACACATATCCGATTAGGGATCTGCAAGAACCCAGGTCTCTCCTCTTCGTTGCTCCGCACCAGTGACAGCAGAATAATATCATTCTCCTCTCCCTGGTACTTATCTACTACATGAACCTTCACACCTTCAAAGACCTTCGCTGGCATGAGTTTATGCAGACAGAAGAGCTGTCCAGTGTAAGTAGTGAGAATGGTGATCTGAGAAGGTTCATAGCCCTGACACAAGAAGTATTTGCACAGTTCCACTACAAAGTGGGCCTCATGTCGGTTCTGGTGACTTTTCCCTTCCTGAATCTCTTGTTCAGGAACTTCATGTTCCACAAAGAAGACATTAGTTGAGACACCCTGAAACAAGAGGAAGGATGTCAGAGAGAGAATTCTAGTTTCTGTCATCCCAGCCTGTTTCCATGTTCCTTATTATAGACTGACTGGAAGACATTTAAGGAGTTGACTACAGTATGCAGTTACTGTGTACTTAGGTCATTTCCTCTTAGATTTACAAAGGTTATTAATGAAATTCTCATTTCAGCTTATTGGTAATATTTCAGTATTCTAAAATAAAATCAGTTTCTGTGGGTGATTTTATTCCCTGTCTTTCCAGAGATGTCTCTGGAAAGACAGGGAATAAAATGTCTCTACTGTACATTTCCAGGCTCTACCAAAGAAAACATTAAGTGTTAGTAATATCCCAAAGCATATTCATGGTGTGAACCATGTCTTGTTCTGGCCCTGTGGGAAAAATATACGAAGTTACCAATGCACTTGCCTAAACATGCCTCCCCTGTTGCTGCAATAAAAACAAAGCAACAAGGAAGATTTCTTCTTCATCAGAAAATACTGGGAATTCTAAGACTCCAGTAGTCACTTACCAGCTCATGGTGTGTAGAGTTGACTTCTCACCCGTTCAAAAACTCTATTTGCCTTGAGTTAGCAGGGGCTTTTATTTTTTTTACCTATTAACTGGAATTATTCTACCCATAAGAAATGATTGTTCTGACTGCCAAAACCCAGAGACTGATTTTAACAGGAAAGAAAAGTTTTTGTAGATCAAACACAGATCTCTGGTTTTCCAAGGTATCCATAGTGGTAAAGTGCCCAGTGGAGTAGAATTTAATTCAGTCATCACCTACATTGGTTATTGTACTAGCTGGGAAGATTCAATTTTGATGCCTTTTGGTACCTCAAGTTTGTTTTAAGGCCAGATGGAACCACAAGATTCTCTGTAATAGATTCTTGTAGGAGAAATGGGGTAAAAAATTGTGGTCTCCTACATTGTGTGTTTTAGGTGGTATTTTTCTTGTTTGTTGGGGTTTTGGTTGGCTGGATTTTGGAGGGGGTTTATTTGGATTTCTAATTTATTTAACTAAATCATCTTCTACAAAGACTTGATCTGGATTTCAATATATCAAAAGAGGATCTGCCACTTTCCCAAATAGCTTATTCTAATAATTAAATCTTCACTATGAATTTTCTCTGGTCTGACTTCAGCATTCTGCTATAGTTTTCAGTATGCTTCCTTCATCCAGTTAAAGAACCTTTAACTAATTAGTACTGGGTTTTTTTTTATGAATACAGATTTACATAGTCTAAGCTATTGTAATGCTACTTCTGCAACTGTCTCAAATCTTTCTCCCAGGGTATTCAGTGGCTCGTGTTTCAGAGATCCAAGGGCATCAGTGTAAAAATGTAAGCTTGGCTCAGACTTCTGAGAAAATAGTTCAGTTGTGACAGAGAGCTGTGAACGAGTCTGCAGAAAAGTGCTATGCAAGATATGCAAGGGAAGATTACAGAGAGATGATTGTTAATAGTTCAAAGATGCAAAAAAAGCACCAACATAGAGATACATGAAGTCCTGGTTAGGGTGAGGAAATACAAATCAGAAAATAGAGAGTGAGTGTTAAGATGGAAATTCAGTACTATTAAGGAAGAAGCAAAGACTGACACTTCTGACTGATAACCAAGGTGAGCTTTCTAATAACTTACTAAATTCTGACTATTTATTGTGTATGTTAGATAATAAGTGATTACTTTATACTTGTAAGCTGCATAGATTTTCTTTCCAGATGTTGTTTATTGGTAAAATACTCAAATGGAGAAAACAAGGAAAAAAAGTTACAGTAATCCTGTTGCCTATTTTATGTCGGAGTTTCACATATTACGCTTTAAGTTGTTAAAATTTCTTCCTAGCTTTCAAACTCCTACAAATCATTTGTTCCCACTTCCATTTTTTACTGTTCTTTTAATGTCACTGGTATTGGATCTTTTTCCACTGTCCACCACCACTAATGCCAGAAGAAGTTACTTATTAACTAAGAATTACAAATTACTTACCTAATTTTATATTGCACAATCCCTTGAATCAGGTATAAATTTCAATAACTGAATTTTACCTAAGAGCTTGAAATCCTTGAACACTGTATTTTACAGAAACTCATTTAACCACTAACAGGGGACAAAAGCAACCACTTGGATTGCTGAAAACTCACTTTTATATTCTCATATTCCAGGACAGAGGGATGGTTCTCCAGCTTCTGGTATATATGAGGGCTGATAAGTTGGGCAATTTCAGGGCGCATGCGGTGCTGAAACACAAACCAGTTTTATCTTTAGTCTTGAAGAAGGAGCAGAATATTTCCCTATCATTATTATTTTACTCCACTGTCCAGATGGTGGCTGAATGCAAGACAAGGATGACTTTTCAATAAGAGACAAGAAGGGAGCACTTCCCAATCGCTGCTCTCCCTCACCCCATTGCCAATGCCACCAACAACTACAGGAGTGGTAGTAGCAGAGTATCTTCTAGAAAACCTCTTGGTAAGGCTGTTGTACAATAAAGTTGGTTTTAGTGCTAATCTAAGCACATTTATAGATAACAAAAGCCAGCACTTCACCCTAACTACTAAATGAGCAGGTGCCTTTAATACAGGATTGTTGGTGGTAGAATTAACTCCTCTGGGCACCAAGATAGATGATTATAGCAATTTAGCAGGAAGCAGCCTGAGAAGAATTGTGCTGTCTTACTCTGCAAAGTTCTGGAAGTTTCAGCTGCCACAATAAATTGTGTTCTTCACACAAAAACATGAGAACCACAGTGCTGTGGATGATATCACTAAATAACTGAAAATATGCTGGAATTCTGTGTCAGTTTGACAGATCCTACCACTTTTTTCAGAAGTCAGATAGTAAATTCTTGTCTTTTGGGCTGCTCTTACAGTAGAAATATAAACCTAAGTGTATTACAAACTTAAAACAACCTAAATACAAATGCCATGAAGTTTTTTATAGCTCTTTCTTACTTGGTACTTCAGACAGACAAAGGGGAAATCCACTTTGATCAGACGTTCAAAGAGAGAGACTTCGAGGTTGAAGTTCTTGGCCAGGTCATATACATTTGCACTAGGCTGCAACTGAAAGAGAAGGGATAGGAGGTCCATGTTTTGGCACTTTTCCTTTGTGTAAGTATTTTCACTCTCATTTTCTGTGACTGCTCATCCACTCAAAGGCCAGAGACTGGATTCTCGCAAAAGTGCTAAACATCGAAGCTAGATACAGTCACAATCAAAGCATATGTAAAATTGTATCAGTTAAACTAAAACACCAATCCCACTGGAGCTCTTGTCTGAAACTACAGGGAACAGGACCTCTGGTATCTGTGGAAGCAGGGGAGCAACAAGCCTTGGCAATTTTCTCACACAGTATTTGGTTAGACAGTTCTTGTTCATTAACACAGCAGATAGAGATGTCAGTCATGAACATTACCTGCTGGTGATCTCCAATGAGGATGAGGTGCTGGCAGTCTTTACTCAGAGTAGTAATGGTGTGAGCCTCAAGCACCTCTGCTGCCTCCTCTACAACGACAATTCGCGGCTCTATGAACCGCAAGATCCGTTGGTATTTTGCAGCACCTGAGCAAGGACAGAAGATAAACCTTAGGATATAACTACATTCAAGCAGTAAGGCAAGACTTTTCACAGAGTGGAGTAGGCTCTGTTTCAGAAAAGACTGGGGTTATTCTCAAGATTCCCCATTTCAACACTTAGCTTTTTGAATTTTAAAACAGCACCATACCAGGGACAGCTTCTATATAAAGAGTTATTAAGAAAGGCAGGTGGGGATTAGCTGTGCCTTACTAAGGCACAAATGGTGCAATTCCATTAGAAGAATGCTACTCGAGACAGGGGGAGTGCAAAAGGGCACAGAAGCTGCTCATGCCACTAATTAACAACTCTCACAACAGCCATGTTTGCAAAGAGAGCCAGAGATTAAAAAGGCTGCAGACTAATGCAGAGCCTGACCCAGGCTGTGAAGCAGCAGATAATACTCATCCTTCTGCAAAAGGCTTCTTTTAAACATGACTGGAAGCAATAAAATACTGGTTTGCTTCCTAACTGCTTCGTACCTGTAGTTGTCATCCCCACAATTCTGGCATTTTTGAGAATGCAGAGATCTTGCTCCAGCCTCAGTTCTTCCAGTCTTTCTGCTGCTGCCTGATATTGCTGTTCATGCCTCAGAATATCCTCTCGAATAAAACCCTGGTAAGTCTTCAGCCAAAGCCTGGGAAGAAAGTACCATTATCACACACTGCAAGGAAAACAGGATGGTGATCCAACACTTCTGAGTGGATTCAGTTCAAAACTTTCCCCGTGTCTTTTGGGAAACAGATTTTTACCATCTGTACCTAGTCCTGAACACATACAAATGCAGGGCATGACACTGCCTCCCATGCAGTACAAGGAAGGTAAGAACAAGCATGTTCAAACAAGGAGCTGAACAGGCACAGGCAGAAACATCATGGCTTGACACAGTTTGCAGACTGGAATGATCCTAGGAAACACCTGCCTGACAAGCCCTGCAAAATAGCTTTGTCACCTGTAAAGTCTCCAGCGGGAGCTCAGGTCAAGCTGCCACACATCCTGAATAGCATTGGCCTCTAACTCTGTCATTGTGTTCTGTTTAAGGAGCTCAACCTTCACCTTTTGCTTAATTTTTCTCCTCTGGCCAGGAGTTATCTAAAAAAAAACAAAAACAAAAAATAAAAGCACCCCAATAAGCCCCAATAAGCAGTTACAGCACAAAGAGTCTTTTGTATTCTTTTGTATTAACACCCCCATGTTATTCTTTACCTAGTCATGCTAATGCATGCAGTTACCTCCCACTGCGTGGTCTCCCATCGTTGTTGAGCTGTTTCTTCTTCCTGGTCCAGATCCATAGCCAACATGGAACAGGGTAGCGCCCGAAGAGGTATGCTATCTTCCATCCTTCTCCTCCTAGGATTTCCTATCTTTTCATCCTCAATCACTCTCTCAGCTTCAATCAGGTCAGCCATCTCTGGGATCTCCAAAAGCTCCTCTTCTGCTTCATCTACCCCCTCCTCCTCCTCTCTTTCCTGCTGACCACCTGTGAGAGTCAACAGTCACATGAAGCAAGACACAGCCACTTATCAGTGCAGCCGTCAGATCACTACATGGAACTTAGGGTTAATCTTCTTTCCACTCCCTCACAGTATCACACATCATTCTCTGCCTGTTGAGTAGCAGTGTCTCTTTTCTGGCACACATACACTGCTTAGGTAAACACACTTGTAGAGGATGTGTGTGGGGTGGGTGTCTTTTGGTGTTTTGTTTTGTTTGTTTTACCTGGATTTTCAGCCCATATATTCTCTGCAGCATTCTGAGTGAAGGCAGATACACCAAGTCCCAGCCACTCCAGAATCACTGAGTGTCGTGAACCAATGTTGTAAAGCTCAGTGTCCTCCTAATACAAGGAAAGTCAAGTCAGCCAGGCCTATTGCACTTCAGAGTCTTAGGATAATGCCCAAGCAGCCCCTTACAGCAGTGGCAACTAGGACAAGTCCCTGCAAGACACCCTCCAGAGCTAGAAAGTCCAAGCAGCCCAAGATCTTCAGAAAAAACACCCTTCCTCCCCTTCAGTTTAAGAGGCTTTCCTTCGGGTATTTGCATTTTTATCCTGCTAAAGATCGCTTAGAATCTCTGCAGTTTAAAGAAGCAAAATTCAAAGTCCCTGTTTGCCCCGCCTGTCTAGACTACTATCATTTGGCACAGCTTGCTGTTCATACCCTTACGTTCCCAGCAACCAAATGATGCTAAAGAGATGCATACTGGGGGAACCTCAGGCCCATTAGCAGAAAGGATGCTAAGCATGCACTGGGACTGCTTGACTTAGAAGAAAGGGACCTCTCTTACCTTAGCCATTGTCAGGCTGGCCCAGTGCTGAGGTGCCATGTGCTCTTTCAAGTAGCGCGCATTCAGAACTCCCTGGGTCGTGCACTCCAACTGCTTTGCTCCTTCAAGGAGATTCTGCTCAGCCCTTCTCATCTCACTCATTACCTACTCATAACAAAGAGAAGGGAGGCAGTGTCACGCTCACAGAAACAAAGTTCACTAACAGCAGGACAAAAAACTGACAGAAGAATTAAAAGACCAAATTCAGCGTAAAACAAGGTGAAAGGCCAGGTGTGGGGGAGGTTTATTATCTCCTCCAATGCACAAGCAACCCAGTCCCAGCATCTCCCAGCAGGCCTGCACATACCTTTTCATAGTCTCTGGAGAGGTAAGCTGGGAAGTCAAATGCGTAGGGAAGCTTCCTCAGCTCCTTCAAGGTGAATCTGTGCAAGGCTGTACTGCTACTCCTGCCCCCAATACGCACTATCTCATCTTCTTGAAATGAGAGTATTCCTGTGAATGAAAAAGGAACATTAGAAGTAAAGGGCCAAGCTCAGTTTTCAGCAATAGGACAAGGAGTAGGAAAAACACCCTTTGACTGCACATTCTACAGTGGCTTGCTCTGGGTGAAGTTTTTTTATCTATATCAATGGGGCTAGGGTCACGAAAAATAATCAAACCAAAATGGAGGTTATCATGCCATACAATAAGCAGAGTAAGAGTTATAGTACGGTTTCTAATTACAGGTTCAAAAAAAAGGTTGACCAGAGAATTTGTGGATGCACTATTGCTTGAAGTGTTCAAGGCCAGACTGGACAGAACTTGGAGCAACCTGGTCTAGTGGAAGGTGCCCATGTCCATGACAGGTGGGTTGGAACTAGATGATCTTTAAGGTCCTTCCAACTCAAACCATATATGATTCTACCTCCATCCTGCTTGCAGGTACTCTTACCTTCTAAGAATTGATCCAGTGCATGGTTAGTGTAGCAGACTATAAGGATGGGACGTTTCTGGTGTGTGTCTTGCCACACGACATCATTAGTCAAGAGAGCCTGAACAATCTTCAAACCCACGTAAGTCTTCCCTGCAAGACAAGCTCAGAATCAGAAAAGGGTTACCCACCCTCTTTGAGTGCATTGAAACATAGAAATCATCAAAAACAGATACAATTCTTTCTAGGGTGCCAATCTGCTCTGTACCAAGAAAACTGACCCCGGGGATAAATAGCATACAAAATGTAGACAAAGTAGAATGACACTTACTTTCTGGCCTTTAATTGAGCAAGGTCACAGTCTGCAAGAATGCTATTTTTTGGATAATACCCCAAACCTGGACATAGGGTTTTCTCTCCCTCTGCATCCCCCAGCCCACTGGCATCATACATGACATTTGGCTGCACATGAAATATCCACACACTATTGCAACACAAGCACTGGTGCTTGTTAAATTCAGGTACCATTTAAAACAATTACAGTTCATCTTGGAATACTTTATTCACACAATGGTTCATGGCTAAATGCTCCCAAAGCTCTAACATGCCATGAAGAGTGCTGCACAGCAAGAGGGACCAACTTCTCAAAGGTGATTGAAAACTTCTTCACCCCAATATATAAGCACAGCCAACAGTGCAGTTGGTATGTACTTGCAAGTACATAGCCACAGACCAGACGTGGGTATTTCAGGATACTAACTGTCTCCACAGCTCACACTAACTGGGCGACTCAAGCATTAATTAGCCACAGGACTAAAGCTTTGGAGACAGTACAGCTGGCTTTTTTCTGAAGTTAATCTCCCTAGTTGGGGGAATCAATGAGAATTTCTTAAATTACACAGTCTTTAAGCAAATACTTCTCACCAGTGCCAGGAGGTCCTTGGATAATAGCCAGCTCCTTGGTGAGTGCAAGATTCAATGCCTGCATCTGAGACTCATCTAATTTCAAAGCTTCCATTGAAAGCCATTCATCGGGATCTAGAATGTGGACTCTTTTCAAGCTATCAGGGCACTCCTTTCCAAATGAAGTCTCCACCAAGGGTGCAAAGTTGTAGGCAGTATCCCCTGTCAGGTATGCTGGCTCCTTCACCTGTACATTACATTCCACAATGTACTTCTGGAACGGGATATCTTCTTCCCGCATTTTCTGCAACCCTTCTAACACATGCCGATAGGCCTCAAAGTAGGCAGCTGTCTCTACCATGAGGAAAGAGTCTGAGGGTTGAATGTCTGCCAGCAGGGGCCGGCTGGCTGCATCAAAACACAGCTCCACAAACCCATTGACAAGTTCTTCAGCATCACGATTAGAAACAGTGGCAAAAAGGAACGTTTCAAAGTGATCCTGGGACATGCAGACTAGGGATCCATATAGCAGTCGTTTAGAATTCTTCCACTGGACAAACCTCAGTGGTTTTGTGTCAAACTGGACCTTGTGAGCAATACCAGTTGAGGTACAACATGGAGCAATAATCCGTGCATCAAAGTAGATCCTGATATCATCAAAATTTTTCCTTCTCAAATTTCTGCCCTCGAGGTTCTGCAAAACCTCCACGATACCTTCCCTCAAAGGCCTTACAAAGTCTTCTCTCAAAAGTCGGAAGTGGGTGTCAAGATAAATACTGGCGCTTTCGTATCTTCCAAGAACAAAATTGGGACGTAGAAAAGGTTTCTCATTACCGTGTATCTCATCATATGTTGGATAAATGCTCATGATACGATAGCTTTCTTCTTGCCCATCTTGAGGCTTCATAAATGTACACTTATCAACCCTCAGTGTGCCTTCACGTCTCTTCTCCTGCAGATGCTTCATGAGCATCTGGACCTTACTGAGATTCTTCTCTGTCTCTTCTGTGATGTCCACACCGAAAGCTCTCAGGGCATCTATGGATGATGTCAAGACTGTCAAGAGAATGGAAACTTTCTGCACAGAGCTGGCAGGGAAAGTACTTATCAGGTGCTCAAGAAGTAAAATGATGTTGCTGATATGCTCAGGGTACTCATGGTGTACAGCAGGAACTACTTCTGTTACCATGTCAGACACGTACTGTGGCAGACAGATCTTGAGAAAGTTTGACTCCTTCACAACTCCAAGAATGTGTTGGACATTCCGTCTATCCGTTTGGCAACTGTATACTTTTTGAAGCACCTGGCAAATGAGCTGAACGAAATTGCGGTTCATAGTTGTTTGGGAAAGAAGCTCCTTCAACCCTGAACTGGAAGCAAGTGTGATGACAACTTCTGAGGGGTCTTTCTCAAGGAGACTTTCAAGGAATTTGTAGCCCATCCTTCTGGCTTGCCAAGGCTGCTCACTGTGGTGGCCACCACCTGGGGTGGCATTCTGGTAGAAATGAGGATTCTCTCTAGGTTGCCTCCTCCATGTGCTACCTTCATTTTCCCACCCAGTCCTCAGCCCTCTCCCTCTAGTTCCACCCTGAACTTGTCCACCTTGATACCTCCTTCCCCTGCCTCCATTTTCTTGCTCATTCCAGGGTCCTCTGGTCCTCTCACGAGCTTGTCCAAGCTGACACGTTCCTCTTCTAAATGCATATTGCTCATGCCAGGGTCCTCTGCCCCTCTCATGTGTTTGCCCACCTTGATACCTCATTCTCCATCCCTCATTCTCCTGTTTAGTCCAGAATCCTGTGGCTTCACTGTTGGTCTGTTCACCTCGAATCCTTGGTTTATTCTTATTTGATTCAGGAACCTTCGAAATCCAACCACCAAACCTGTCTTCTCTTTGCTCAGGTAGAAGAGTATAATTACTGTCTTGGAAGTCTTCCCCTAACTGAGGTGCCTGGCATGGTACATTATTTGTTCTGTTTCTGCCTCTTCCAATAAAGTCAGTGTCCAAATGAACTGCATGACCTCAAAAAAAAAGCAAAAGAAAGAGACACTCTTTAATTATAAATCAACCAAATTAACATGTTTCCCAACAAAGATGAATGAGTATATTGACCTGACAGTCAGCATATATTGAGCATTTCACATCAAGTTAAAAAATTTATTGTATTTGCACACAGACTTTTGAATCGGTTTCTCATTTGTAGCCCTTTTTCTAACTGCTAAAGAGAGTGCCATGCTTGTACACTTGACCTACGAAGATACTGGAAAACAAAACCTCTTTCCATAGAACTGAAAGCAGAAGTAAGAAGGTGAAAGATTAAGTTTTCTGCACAGGACATTTCCTCGGTAGGAACATCAGTCATCAGTGAAATAATACAGAGGACGTCACAGCTGCCTTGAACTGGCTGTACATAGCACACGAAAAACATGAAGCCTCTTGCCGAAGCCCAGGCTCTCGGAGTAGCAGGAAGCTCAGCCCTTAGTGCCCTTCTCAGACTCCCCACAGGACGCTGAGGAAAGAACTGATTGCTGGCACGAACAAGAAGCAAGAGGCTGCTGAAACAAATCACCGCATCATGGCCCCAAACAGACTCCAAGGACAAATAAAGAAGTGTTGAAACTCACCCTTGAGAGAAAATTTTGCTGTACACAAGCAGGGGAGTAGCGGATCCCCTGTAGGAGCGCCCCACCCAGCCCTCCTGCCCTGCATTCCCCGGGGCACCCTTACCTCTCGCTCCATCTCGGGGGTGCCGGGCGTGAGGCTCCTGCCGAGGACCCTCCATCGCCCGGCCCGGGACTGCCCCGGCTCTGTTCCAGCTCTCCGGGTCGAGGGCAGCGCTGGCGCTGGGGACCGCGGCGCTCCTGCGGCCGAACACGGGCGATGCTGCGCTGCGCTGTCCGCACAGCTCGGGAGCCGCCGCTTACTGTCCCGTACACACACCAGCGCTTCCCCTCCCAATTCCCCGCAAAGTTTCGCTTTCCAGTTCCCCGCAAGTCCCGCCCGGTGGGCAGAACGCCCGCCTCACGTCACCGGCGGGCAGCGCCCCCGAAACGGAGCTTCTCCTCCTCTCTCCGGCTCCCGCATCAAGGGGAAGCGGAGAGGAGAGGGCGCACCAGCACCCAGCCCTGGCCCGGCCGCTTTCGGTTTCCTTTCCCGGCACTGCGGGGCGGAGGCAGCCGCGGCTCTGCCCACCCGCCCGG